TGCGTCGGCGCAGGCAAATGGCTCGCAACAGCGGCCCCCTTCAATTAACAGCATAGACGCCAGCGCCCCGCGATTTTTTCCATCAACTACGCATGACACAAGCAACTCGGCCAGGTTGTTTTTGTTTTTGTGCGCAGTGTCCGTGCCGCGTTGCTACGGAGTGTCTTTCTGGCTGCTGAAAGAAAAAGTGCGTGCGTGCGTATGCGTGCGCGCGTGTGTTTGTGCGCGTGCGCTGATTGTGGATACCTGGCGGCCCAGACGGACGGGCGTGCCCCCCCCCCCCCCCCTGTCTCGTTTGGCCGAAAGAATCCAATGTCTCGCGAGCGGGGGGCGCACGCGTCGGACCCAACGCAACGATGAGGGAGGGGCGGGAGACAAGCAAGGAACATTTGAGTATTGTGGATCCGGAGAAAGGAACAATGTGCTAGTACCCATTGAGCATTGCGCCCGAAGCAGGCGTTGCGCCTCAATGTGCACATTGGGAACTACGCCCGCGTGGAGAGCGTTGCGCCCAAAGAGAATCAGCGTTACGCTGAAAAAAGCTGGCATTGCGACTTAATCGCATCCTTGGGCATTCCGCCCATGTGAAGAGCCTTGCGCCCAGTGTTTTAAAGTATTACATTATTCCTCCTAGAGCATTGCGCTCTTCTCCCCTACAGCTAAAAGCGAGAGCATTGCGCCCTGCTGTGGCCCCTCCCCTTATCGTCCTCTTCCTTCGTAGGCGTTGCGCCTTTCACTACACCCTGGGTGTTACACCCATTCAAATAGCATTGCGCCCCGAGTTATCATTCTGAGTTTGCCTTCCCTCCTCCGCAGTTGGCATGAGCCCGTTCGAAGATGGCCTGCCTGTGGGCGCTGGTGGGGGGGATCCTCTTTCTGCTCCTCCTCCTCCCCCTCTTCCTCCTCCTTCTCCTCGTCCTCCTCCTCCTTCCCTCGTTGAGCAGCCCGTCGCGGCCTCCTCCTGATCCTCCTCCTCCTCCTCCTCCTCCTCTTCTCCCTTCCCCCCTCCCGCTGAGTATCCCGTCGCGGACTCCTCATGATCCTCCTCCTCCTCCTCCTCCTCCTTCTCCTCCCCCTCCTCTTCCTCCTCCTCCTCCTCCTCCTCCTCCTCCTCCTCCTCTTTCCTCCTCCTCCTCCTCCTCCTCCTCCGCCTCCTCCTCCTCCTCGTCCTCCTCCTCCTCCGCATCCGCGTCCGCACCCGTGGCCTACTCAGCATCATCCTCTTCCTCTTCCTCCTCCTCCTCCTCCTCTTCCTCTTCCTCTTCCTCCTCCCCCTCCTCTTGGATTCCCCCTCCTGGATGGCAGCTCCAGTACCATCAACGCCGGCTCCCGCCTGAGAGGTCGCCAAACTACTCATTGCGAGGAGGCTCCCACCTGAGAGGCCCCAGAAAAGCAGGAGGAGACTCCCGCCAGAGGGGTCCCCCTAAAACTCAAACAAGACGAGGCTCTTGTCTGAGAGGACCCCCAGCAAACCAAACAAAAGGAAGCTCGTGCTTGAGAGGGCCCAAAAAACAAACAAGCAAAATGAGGCTCCCGCCTGAGAGGTCAAGAAAAAAACCAAACAGAAGGAGGCCCCCGCCTGAGAGGTCCCCAACAAACCCAACCATATGGAGGTTCCCGCCTGAAAGGCCCCCAACAAACCCAAAGAAACCCAAACACCATGCCTGTCATCCCTGCAACTGCCAACACAAAACAACAATAACCAAAGTTCCAGGAGAGATCCGACGCTGCTGCCCCAGATGCATTGACGAGGGCCGTCATCTCCTCTGGAACTTTGGTTTTTAGTTTTTTTGGGACAGTTGCAGGGATGAAAGGCATGGTGTTTGGGTTTCGTTGGGTTATTCTGGGACCTCTCGGGCGGGAACCTCCACCTGTTTGGCTTTTTTTTTGACCTCTCAAGCGAGAACCTCCTGTTTTGGACCTCCCAGGCGGGAGCCTCATGTTTTTTTTTTTTGACCTCTCAGGTGGGAGCCTCCTCCTGTTTAGGTTTTTGTTTGACCTCTCACGCGGGGGCCTCCTCCTGCTCCTCCTCCTCCTCCTTCCACCGTTTTCTTCCTCTGATGAATCATTTTCGTCATTCCAGCTTTCTGTTACTTCATTCTGCTGCTGCTTCTCCTCCTCCTCCTCCTCCTCGCCTCCTCCTCCTCCTCCTCCTCCTCCTCCTCCTTCTCTTTTTCCTCCTACACGACGAGGCGAAGAAGGAAGGGCATAATGAGGTTGACCCCTGCAGAAGAACGATGAGGTAGATCTTGGTAGGGGGGCGTCTCTCTCTCTATATGTATGTATGTATGTATGTATGTATGTATGTATGTATGTATGTATGTATGTATGTATGTATGTATGTATGTATGTATGTATGTATGTATGTATGTATGCATGTATGTATGTATGTATGTATGTATGTATGTATGTATGTATGTATGTATGTATGTATGTATGTATGTATGTATACATATAACGGCGCACCGGGTCCAGGGGCCCGGGGCCGGGACCCCGACCACAAATGTGGGCTCCGGGGGGCCCGGAGGCTCGTCGGGGCTTGCCGGAGGCCTCCCCGGTCAGACAAGACGGCCCCAGAAGCGCCCAAGACGGCCCAAGAAACTTCCAAGAGGCCTCCAAGAGGGCTCCGAGATGCTGAAGATGGCCTCCAGACGTCCAAGGACGCCCCCAAGAGGCCCCAAGAAGCCTCCAACATGCGTCCCAAGAGGGCCCCTAAACGCAAAAATTGGCCCATTCCCTTCGTAAAACGTACATTTTCAACAAAGTTGTCTTTTGGGCTTTCCGACGTTACAGGACGGCCCAAGAGGCGCCCAAGACCGCCCCAAGACGGCCCAAGAAGCTTCCCAGAGGGCCCCAGGACAGCCCAAGAGGGCCCCAAGACGGCCCAAGAGGCGCCCAAGATGGCCCAAGAGGGCCCCAAGACGGGCCCAAGAGGGGGCCCAGAGGGGGACCACGAACCGCAAGCTCGAGCCTTCCGCCCCAAGAGGCCGCCAGGAGGCCCCAAGGAGGCCCCTCAAGAGGCCCCAGGAGACCCCCAAGAGGCCCAAAGGAGGCCCCGAGAAGCCCCAAATCGGCCCCCAAAATGCTTCGAACCTGCTTCCAGGAGGCCCCCGACAGGTTCAGAGGCTCCCGAGAAGCTACGTCAAACTCCCAGCGAGCGGCCGGACGAGGCCCCCAACAAAATAACAAGAGGGTTCCAGTATTTGTATCCTTCAGCGCTCTCTGGCCTCCTTCCCCCTGCCCCCTTCCCTGCGACTTTCGTTGACTCAAGCTCGCCTCCTAGCTAGAACCTAAGCGCGCGCGAAGCGCGCGCGTGGTTCTAGTATGTATGTATGTATGCATGCATGCATGCATGCATGCATGTATGCATGCATGCATGTATGTATGTATGTATGTCTGTATGTATATATTTATATGTGTAATGTGTATATATATACACAAATGCACAACCACGAACCAGACAAACAAACCGCACACATATGCTTATACATATACACATGAATATAGTTTTACTATGTATACATAGCCTTAAACAAAACAAACGACACCACCCCACCCACGGCCCTCCACGGCGCGTTGCTGCCCCTTTGGGGACCGCAGCGCACATGCCACACCAAAAAGCCCACGCCGGACTTCCTGGGCATGCGCCGTGAGCCCCCTTGGGGCCGCAAGGCTGGGGTGGTGTTATTCGTTTTCGGGTCCACTCTCCAGACATGCGACGTCTTGATTTCTTCAGGACGGCGTCCCCGGAAGTCCAGACCCTTTCCCCAGGGCCGGTTTTTCATCCCGAGTCGTTTCTTGACGGCCTCGGGTCCGGCGAGGGCCCCCCAGGGACTGACAGTAGTGAAAAGCCTGCCGCCCTGATTTTTTATTGCGACGCTATCATGTCTGGGTCCTGCTCCCCCCCGAGAGGACGCCCTCGCGTGCCCGTACGCGGGCACCTGGGTGGAGGACCGCCTGCCCCCGGCCCTCCGCGAGTGGCGGGCCTCCGAGCGCAGCGCCCGGGCGCCGCCCGGGCCGGCGGCGGCCGCCGGCCCGAGCAGCGTGCGGGTGAGCTTCTTGTACGCCTCGCCGATCAGCCCAGGATCGATCAACACCTGTCTTATCTTAGAACAAATTTATCACACTGCTTTTCCTCACCTGTTTTTTTTTATCTCCCCTGTTCGGAGCTTGCATCACGCTTGTTTGTTAATCGCGCTTGTTCTGCGGCCCTCCGCGCTGCGCTGCGGCCCTTCGGGCGCCTTGACGTTCGCCGCGCGCAGGCCCAAGCCAGAATGCTTGGTGTACGCGAAGCCTGGTGGGTCCGTGGGTGCGGTGGTGCCGTTTGTTTTCGGGTCCGCAGGAGGCGAGGTGCCCGAGCTGGACATCGCGGGCGAGGTGCAGGCCCTGCGCGACCTGCCCGGAGTGGCCCTCGACGTGCGCGTGGCGACGCTGGCGGCGTTGCGCGAGGCCTCGCTGTCCACGGCCTCTGTGCTGCACCTGTCCGCGCACTGCTCGCACGTGGACCCGTCCACGCACTGCGCGCTGCCTCGCCTGCGCCTCCTGCTGGAGAACAGCTGCGGCGGGGTGCACAGCGTCGGGGAGGAGGAGCTCGTCGCCATGGGCCCTTGGGACCGACAGGGCACGGTCCTGGTCTTCCTTGCCTGCGGCTCGAAGGAGCTGGCCGACACCCTCGTCCAGCGCTGCGGGCTGCGGTGCGCGATCTGCTGCTCCGAGGAGGTCCAGGACCGGGCGGCGCGCTGGTACTGCCGCGGCCTCTACCACGCGCTGGGTGTGGGGCTCTCGGTCGAGCGGGCGCACCAGGCTGGGCGCGAGGCCATCCGGAGCAGCCCGGACCCCGGCCTCCGGAGCGAGGCGGACAAATTCGAGCTGCTCGGGGCGCCGGGCCGCGCGGGCGGTTCGATGCTGGCGCCTGGCCCCACGCCAGCTGGGCAGCCTCGGTGGCCGCTCTGGTCGATGACAGAGGAGCGGTACGATCGATCATCGAGAATAAAGAGAGCCCTAACCCTGATAACACAGGGAAGGCGTGGCTTCACTGTGAGGTCCCCGTCGTTGCATGAGGGATCACAGATCTGGGCGGTTCGGTTCGATGCATCTGCAGAGAGGAGACCCTATCCCTAATGTTTTGGGCCCTGCTAACTTGGGCCCCCTCCCAAAGGGTTAGGGGTCCTTTTTTGGGTTAATCAATCGGGATGGGTACGGAAAGAATGGGTACGAAGATCGACAGCAGCTCCTGTGCATCTTGAGCAGGTCTCGCTGTCGGTGGCCCCGCGGATGTTGTCCATTTGAGACAAAAGGCCGGCTGCCCAACAGCAGCGTGCGCTGTTGCTTTTGGGCAAGATTTGCTATCGGACATCGTACCCATGTGTTTCCTACCTATCTCGGGCGTCCGCAGAGGACTACTGCGAGCGGTGGAGCTGCAAGCTGGGTCTGTGCAGGCACTTCGAGCACCGCCGCGTCGCGGTGCTTACGGGCCCCGCGGGAGTCGGGAAGACGGCCTTCTGCCGCGAGTTCTGCCGGTACTATTCAGCCCCGGGAGGCTCGGGGGGCGCGCAATGGGGGGGCGACAACTGTGGGGGCAGCGAGGGCTGCCGACAAGTGGCCCTTTAGTTCAGGGCCCCACGAGGGGGCCTCTCGGGCCCTTGCAATGGCACCTTTCTCTCTCCCCCCCCCACGCAATTACCCATCGGTCGCTGAAAGCAGGTCTTTTTGGATGCTCAGATTCCGATCGGCTTCAAACGCCTGCCCACTTCCATGATTCTGCCTGCTTCTTCCGACCGATGGGTATCGCCCCCCACTAGTTCGTGCCCGCGAGGCCGCTTCTTTTCTGCGGGGGCGCTCTGGGTGGACCGTGCGAGGGTGCGGGCGCGGGCCGGCGAGCAGCCGTGCGACGCCTTGGCGCGAGCGGTCCTCGACGACCTCGCGGCGAGAGGCGCGCCGCCCGGAGCCGCCGCGCCGGCGGCGGCCGCGCGGAGCCCCTGGGACGCCTTCCGGCTGGCGGCCCAGCGGCTGGACGAGGCCGGCCCGTGGCTCGTGGTGGTTGACGGCCTCGAGGTGGCCGAGGATCAGTCTCGTTGATCGGCGGCGAGCGGGGGGGAGGGGGGAAAGCGAGGAGGAGAAGGCCCACTCAGAAGGCGGCGGGACTCCTCGGGAGCCCCGGCGACTTCTGGGAGGTGTTTTGGTGTCTTCGGGGGGAGAAAAAACTTCTCAGAAGGCTGGGGGTCTTCCAAGCCTTCTGAGGAGGCCCGCCCCTTCTCACTTCCCTCCGAGCCTCGTCGCCGAGTTTATTCAATCCCCATCCCCGTCGACCTCAGCCCCACTCACCACACCACCCCGCTTGGAGACATGCCCCCCAGAGCCCCCCCCATCTGGGGGGGTAAACCGGCCAGTGTGTCCCCAGGGCACGCCAGCGGGGACATGGATCGGTTGGACGATGCCCAGAGGACGGTGCTGGCGAGTGCGACGAGGCCTGCCTCGCCGAGGCTCTTGACGCGGCCCTCCGCTGTGCCGCGCGCCTGCATCTGCTGCTGGCGGCCAGGCGCAGCCCGCGGGGCGCGCCCTGGGGCAGTTTGGCTGGTGCCAAGGCTTGGGCGGCGCGCGCGCGAGGGTTGGCGCGAGGGGGGCGCGAGGGGGGGGGGCTTCCAAGGACGCAGGTGGCTTCTCGGAAGGCCTCCCGGCGGCTTCACGGGGCCTCCCGAGGAGCATCCGGGGTCCTCCAGGAAGGCCCCCCGCCCTCTCAGCAGCCCGCCCCCCCCGCCTGCCAGAGGAAGGCTGCCCCCCCCTCCGCGCCGCCCCCGCTGCCCGTGCGCGCCGCCGGAGCAGGCGGTGCCGCTGGAGCTGCCCCCGCTCCCGCCCCTGGAGGCCGCCGAGCTCTTCCTGAAGCGCCTAGGGCGGCACCTCTTCGAGTGCGACTTCGACCCGCGGGCCCCACCCTGGGGCTCCGGGCGCGAGGCGCCCGTGCCCAAGTCGCGCCACCTGCTCGAGCGGCTGGCGGTGACGCGCCTGCTGCACGCCCTGGGCAACCTGCCGGGCCGCGTGGTCACCGCGGCCCGGCTGGTCACGCCCGCGCTGCCCTCGCTGCTGGAGCACCCTGCTCTGCCCCAGGCCTGGCCGCACGAGGCGGCCGCCGACGCCTGAGCCCCAGGCCTCCCGAGTGGGCTCCGAGCGGATGGCGTCGGAGCATCGCGCCCCATCGCCGAGGCACCGGCGATGCTCGAAGGAGAGAAAACGCCATAAACATAAACTTTTGGTACTCCGCGCTGATTTCTTGGATCCGTTCCGGTCCCCCACGGCGGCGCCTCCGGCGCCGCCCCTGGCGCGCTCCGCGCGTCAGGGAGGGGGATCCAGCGCAGATCCAAGAAATCTACGCGGAGCGCCACAAGTTTATGTTTATGTTGTTTTTTCTTCTTCTAGATGCGGCGCGAGGTGCAATTCCGACTCGCTCCACGCTTCATGCAGAGTGCTTATTCGCAAACGTCGACAAGAACGCGCGTTGTGCGACGCAACGGAGCCTGCGTGCCTCGACGCAATGGATCCAGGCCATTTGCGAGTGGCTACTTTGCGAGCAGTGGAACGCGCTTGTCTAACGCTGGCGTCGCCGATGCCCCGCCGACGTGGCCGATGCGTTCGCCGCTGCATCGGCGATGCGGCGCGATCCTCCGACCCCGTTTGCTCGGACCCCCCCTCTGGGAGGCTTGTATCGAAGCGGAGGGCCATCCTCGGCAGCCTCGCGCCGCGCGGCCACACCGCCGCGCGGCGCGTGGAGGAGAACGCGCGCTTACTCGGCGCGGGCGCGCGGCAGCTGGCAGAGGACCTGAGCGGGGGTCGATCAGACGTGGTTGTGGTGGTCGTGTTCGTGGTCGTCGTCGTGGTCGCCGTCGCCGTCGTCGGCGTCGTCGTCGTCGTCGGCGGCGGCAGCGGCGGCGGCGGCGTGGTCGGCGTCGGCGTCGAGAGGGGGGAGCGGTGGTACGGGGCACTCCAGACGGGGCCTGGCCTTCGGCCTGGGGGGAGGGGTGGTGCTGGTCGGAGGGAGGAGAAGCGATACCAACACCACCAGGGGGCCCACCTCCAGCGAGGAGGTCCACGATGCCTCCCCGAGCTGGATGCTGGGGATGTCTCGAGCGAGAGGGGGGGGCCACACCACCAGGGAGACGCCCCTTGCCTCCTCGCACTTCCTCGCCCTGCTGGTGTTGGTGTCGCCTTTCCTTGTTCCCATCCTGGAGGCCGAGGCGGAGGCATCCTGGCTCGGCGGGGAGCGAGGGGGGAAGCGAAGACGAATGCCAGGACGAGGACAAATTCGGGAATCAATCGAACATCTCTGAGATCCCGGGCGCCGCGGCCTTCTCAGAGCGAGCGTTCTGGAACGCTCTGGGATGGATTTGTCCTCGTCCTGGCCCCGTCCGAGAAGTGTGAATGAGAAGGCCTTCTCAGAAGGCGGCGGGACCTCTCAGAAACCCTCGCGCTCTTTGAGAGGTTTTCTGTGTCTTCGGGGAAGGCTCAGGAAGCTTCTTAGGAGGCCTGTGGACTTCCGAGCCTTCTAAGAAGGCCCGCCCCTTCTCACTTCCCCCCCAGGCGCGCCGCCTATCGATGTTGAACGACCTGACGTTTGTGAAACGGCCGATCGTTCAAGCTTGCACGATCCCAGCGGTGTCGGGAACCGACGCTGGGGTTGACACGACACAACACGAGCCCGTGGTACACATGCCTGCCTGGCCAAGCCAGGAGGGCGTACGCACCGATCCTGGGCCCAGAGGGCGGTTCTGGCCAGGATCGGTGCGTAGTTGGGATCCTAGCCGGGGGAAGCCAGCAGCAGCCCTTGACGCCTGCGCCTCCTTGACTTTGCCTGCACTTCTAGAGGCACGGCGCCCCTGCTTCACAGCGGGTTCCAGGCTGGCGTGATGCTGCGTGGCCCGCTTGGCGGCCGCCTCGTATGGCATTGCCCTTGACACCTGCGCCCCGCCCTCTTCCCGCCACGACGGCGAGGATCGCGGCGGGGGAGCGGGGGAGGGCGCGGGAGGGAGGACTAGGGGGAGCAGCCTCAGCAACTCGCGAGTGAGGACGAGGGTAAGTAAAGAGCAGCACGGTAATCATGAAGGAGGAGGAGGAGGGGAAATATGATCATGCGAAGAGGCGCGCTGAATGAACCAGTGGAATCGGAAACCCCGAGGGTCGGGAGGGAGGAATGATCGATGAGAGGTAGACTCAGGAGGATGTCGGTGATGACAATATTGACGGGAGAGGAGAGCGGCATGAGAACAGCAGGGTTGGGAAAATGTAGTGGTAGCATTAGAAGTAGTAGTAGTAGTAGTAGTAGTAGTAGTAGTAGTAGTAGTAGTAGTAGTAGTAGTAGTAGTAGTAGTAGTAGTAGTAGTAGTAGTAGGTTAGTAGTAGTAGTAGTAGTAGTAGTAGTAGTAGTAGTAGTAGTAGTAGTAGTAGTAGTAGTCGTAGTAGTAGTAGTAGTAGTAGTAGTAGTAGTAGTAGTAGTAGTAGTAGTAGTAGTAGTAGTAGTAGTAGTAGTCGTAGTCGTAGTCGTAGTCGTAGTCGTAGGCGTAGGCGTAGGCGTAGTCGTAGTCGTAGTCGTAATCGTAGTCGTAGTCGTAGCAGTAGTAGTAGTAGTAGTAGTAGTAGTAGTAGTAGTAGTAGTAGTCGTTGTCGTAGTCGTAGTCGTAGTCGTAGTCGTAATCGTAGTCGTAGTCGTAGTCGTAGTCGTAGCCGTAGTCGTAGTCGCAGTAGTCGTAGTAGTCGTAGTAGTCGTAGTAGTAGTAGTAGTAGTAGTAGTAGTAGTAGTAGTAGTAGTAGTAGTAGTAGTAGTAGTAGTTGTAGTAGTAGTAGTAGTAGTAGTAGTAGTAGTAGTAGTAGTAGTACGTAGTAAGTAGTACGTAGTAGTAGTAGTAGTAGTAGTAGTAGTAGTAGTAGTACGTAGTAGTAGTAGTAGTAGTAGTAGTAGTAGTAGTAGTAGTAGTAGTAGTAGTAGTAGTGGTAGTGGTAGTAGTAGTAGTAG